CCCACACCCTCGTTTAAAAGGTAAGAGTTTTTAAAAAAGGTCACGAGAGGGGCTGCATTCTGGCATGTTCTTTCAAACAAAAACAAAATATTTGACTTTATCTTTTACTATGCTAGAGTTCTACTGGCGCTACGATAGAGCTATTTTTGACCTTTGTTTGATGAATATCTCGGGCAAACGTCGTGATATAGGACTAAAAATTTTATCATAGCCATAGTTCACCAGTCCCAACATATCTTGAAAGTTCCATGCAATTTGGATGTTCCTGGGCTGAGATCCATTTTTGAATTGGGGGGGGGGGGGGCCTTAAAGCATATACATTTTGCTGATTACCGATGATTGTCTTCAATAATTTTTTGTATAAGTTGACTGGTTTAATTTGAACAATTGTTTCTAATATGCTTACGAAAAAGATGGAGCATATCAGTGTCCGATTAGTTTGTAGGCGGATGTGGGTGTAGATGTGTATGAGAATTCAGATGTAAGTTGGAGATATGATCTATGTGTAGGGCCTAGGTGTATTTGGTTCGGGTGATTGTGGCTGTGGACACACTGGTATGTACACGGTGCTGGTCAAAACTCCTAACCTCCTCCACTTGAAGTGCTGCAATATTTCAAGCTGTTGATTTAATATTTGGTCGGCATAGAAGTAGTAAGAAAATCTAATCGCACACGCCAACTCGGCATCGATGTAATATAATAGTAGAAAGTTATATATTAAACACTATCTAAATCTTGGATTGATTATATATGTCAACCAGAGATGTCCATCGCGGCAGCGGCAGCATTTTTTTCGAGGACATTGAAAAACTGCATGAATTTGATAGAATTTTATTGTTTACAAATGAAACACCCTGAGACTGAATGAATCTGATGGACTAGTACCAATATTTCTGGTCCAATACAGTTGCAGCAGTGAAATTCGAAACAGGTTTTTGGCAACCATCGCGGCAGCGGCAAGTTTATTACTCATCGCGGCGCGGCAGCGGCTGATTTTCAGCCGCGATGGGCATCTCTAATGTCAACCACTCGAACACTTCATATTTGGCAGAACTCATGATTTGAAAGTTTGCTTCTCAGCTTGATTCCATCAAATTTTCATCTGAAAATTCTTTCGGACTAGAGTGTAGAGCGTGAGTGGTAAAGCTATGAGTGTGAGCCTTGCTTTAGTGAAGGTTCACACTCACATTCACAACTCCTTGAGGTTTGAGAGTATATGAGTTGCAAGTACTTTCCAAGCAACCTAATTATTCAAATTTAAAAGAATTGAAGATCGGAGAAAAAAACTTTTGTACATACAGAACATATGATGACTCTATAGGGAAAACGTAATCCCGACTTTTGAAACAGTCGTACGAACCCAGAATAGGGTTCAAAGACTTGATTCAAAACGATAATCGACTCTTGGAATTCGAGTTGATTATTGGGAAAATAAAAAAAACTCAATGTCGAGAGAAGATCGGCTCTTCATCACTGAACGGTTCTCATTCTTTGATCCAGTTTTTTTTTAATTTCCAATCTAATCAAGATTTAAACAAAATAAATTAGAAAAAGAAAGAAAACTGATTCCAATATACGAATTCTGGCTGTTACGTTTACGAAAAAAAATCAATGAGTGCTACAGTTCAAGCGTTTTTAGTTTTCAAATCATCGAAAGGTGAAGTGTCGCTTCGATATCGATGAGAATCCATAACGAACATTTTGTGAGTTTGAATGCATACCAAATAATTGTGTAGAATAAATCCAACATTCTCTCCATATTCTACAATTAACTCTTCTTTCAACTTAATAAGTTCATCAAACCATGCATTACACATATTAATTATCTCGTCCACAGATTGTTCAAACGTCAGATGCCTGTGACTCATCATAACGGCAATTAAATTTGTCTTTTGTTTGTTACGTATACATTCTCTTTCGTAAGAATAAATATCGCTGGTAAACGTTACATGACTATTTGCCAATCGTATTGCTCGTTTGAATTTATCACTGTTGACAATATTATCCGGTAAATAAATGTTGAATGCATATTCATACAATGTTAGAACAGAATATACACCACTCTCCCATAGTCGAAGTTCAACATATTCATCGTAGTCTAATGGTTTGTCGAAAATTCGAATGGCGTACATTGTTGCACAGCTATTTAAATATAATTTCATAATACGCATAAAACGTTTGAACCAAAATGAGGGTGTTGTAGATTTCATTTTCTGAAGAATACTATATTGAGCACGAACAATACCGAACCATTCTTGTTGTGCATCATTTCCATCTTCGTTCAATGGACGTTCGAGAATGTGTAGCGTTGCTTTCGATAGCTTCGCAATTGCTTCAGTACTAACATCATCTTTATCATCCATGTAGTTATCCATTAACCAATAAAAAGAGAAGTAATAAGTAAGATCGATCAATTTATCGATTGATACTGAAGGAAATGCGTATGAAGCATATTTCATGAAACCTTGAAAACATTTCACAGCTTTTAAATCATTAATATCGATAGCACCAAACGAATTTGCTGCATTGAGTGCCATATCTGCGACTTCCTGCCAATTAGGATGAACAGTAAATGAAGGAACATAATCCTTCAAACGAGAGAAGACAATAACCATTGGTTCTTTTTAGAAAGGATAACAGTATTTCCACATAAAACCTAAAGTTTTTTCTTGCGAATAATGAGTTTTGCTTTTATCAGTGCTATGTTATTCTGTTTTCTCTATAACTCACCTTGATACGTTTGCCTACTATTTCTACTTAAGCGTCTATATGGAATAACCTACAAAAACGATCTTGTTGTTCTCTAAAAACGCATTTGTTATCTTTTTAAATGCAAATGTGACGTTTTTGTTGTTGATAAGGCGTCTAATGTGCGTAGTTTTTTTCTTTTGTACCGCAGAATTTACGTATGTTTGCTCGCACGTTTAAAGTCACGTATTCAGATGTATAGACGTAATTTATAGAGTTTGACCAATAGTAATCAGAGTCGGAAAGTTCGAGTCTGCAGTTAGTTTCTTAAAATTTACTACTTGATTTTTTCGGTAAGGAATGGTTGGTTTGAGAGAATGGCGATATTTCATAAAGATTGATGAAAGCAGGTCACGGTGAGGGAGCCTAAATCTGTAGTCGATTCCTGAAAATGAATTGGCGTATATACCTTCCTTCTCGCACAATTCTTCTTCATTGCCTATTTTTTTGATTTAAGTAAGTGTGAAAATATGAAATCAGTGAACAAGACCTTGGATATTTTTGGTATTAGTAATAAACTTAATAGTTTAGGAAAGAGCCGTTTCCATAGAATATATCATAAAAAAAAGTGTAGTATTTGGAGATTTTCGCTAGCGAGAGTCGATTTCTATAGAAAACAGGCATGATATTCGGAATCAGTATGCAAAAATATACGAGAAACTCTATCTTTCATCGTACAATTTTTCCATCAAGATTTTACCCCCTACTTTTCCTTAGCCATCTATTCCTAAAACATTAACCTGCATCCTTCCCTACAGATCAAAATTTGATGGAAAAATTTTCCGTCGAAAGATAGAGTTTTTCTTGTTCTTTTGGGTGTGGGTGTGCGCATGCTTCACGCGCTTCTATGCAACTGCAACCACATCCACACCCCGTCGACGAGAAAAATGTAGAAAATAAGATAGCAAACATTTAACCATCTATTGTGCGGAAAACTTTTGACTAGTACATAAGTATAGAATAGAAGTTCTCCATAAAATCGACAAAAGAAATGTTATGAACAGAATAATTAGGTATGACAAAAATATATATTAGGACGAACCATATTCAAACAACAGATAAAAAGATATCAACACTAGTATAATGTAAAATTGAAAAGCCATTCGGTTTAATGATCAAGTATTAGTCATTTTGTCTTTTGCAACGATCATTGACAGACGTTCAAGATACTGAAGGTGTGGAATTGAGTGTGAAATTAGTCTTCTATTAAGCCAAACCCACACCCACACATTAAGTATACGATTGCCTTTACTGCTTTCTAAGAAGGTTATTTTAGGTGTATGGTTCTTGATAATATTTAGACCAAATAAGATGAGTCAATAAAAATTCTTGAAATTGAACATAAACTACTATATATGTACGTTTTACTAATTAATCACTATTGTTAGTTTATTTTAATGTAGCAGCAACATTAGTTGACAAAAAATAAGCTTATTAAGAGATAATTGTTCTTTTACCTTGAATCGATAGATTATGCTTTTTCACAGCACCTTCAATATTTCTCTTTTCTTAAGTTTTTTCGATATTTTTTATTTATGCAACTCGATTTTCTGCATCCTGCTTTTCGACGCTTTCCCTTTCTACCTTTCTCCACGCATTCCAGTCAGTGTAGTAGAAAATTTCAATATCTGTCAGAGCGTATAGTGAACATCTTTTATTATAATGTTGTAATTCTATATAGCATGAGGTCTTAGGAAACATCTAAATAAGGACAATAGGAATCATAAATAGTTTATTATTAAATGTAGATGTAAGGAAAAGACAATCATTCACACTGTTAGTCTGCATGAAAATCATTCAGAAAGAATTTTGATAAACAATCTTCTTTTTTTGTTCTTTCATGATGATTAAAAAATAAAATTGATAAAAAAAGTCATTTGATTTATGAATAATCGTCAATATTTTCGTCTTTCCATGTTATCTGAAAATGGATAGGTATAGTATTAAACTCTTTGGAATATAACATTTCATCATATTCTTCATCTGTGTAATCATTCATATTATATTTTTCTGTTAGATAATATCTTATGGTCATCCATGGACGTCGTTGCTCTTCGGTTGGATGAGGATTGTCTTTATCGGGAGCGGTTTTTGTCAAATTATTAAGATTTTTATACCATTGCAAATGCGGGTGTGGGTGTGGGTGTGGGTGTGGGTGGGTGGATAAAGAGAAGACATACACCCACACAGACACCCACATTCACACTCCACACCCACACCCCACACCCACACTCCACACCCACACCCTTGAAAACCTATAATCGACGCAGACAACATTATGTTTCACCCTTACAATAGTGGAGAAAAAGAGTACGCAAAATACCTATTCATTCCCGTCCCTCCCCCATATCTAATTCTCTCCTATTGTTAGAAGACAACATTGGGTTGTTCGAGGCGAATTAAAGAGGATCCTTGAAAACTTATAATTGACACGGACAATACCATCTGCCGTCCTTACAATAATGGAAAAAACCCGAGGAGGAAATAATTGATTCCGAGCAGCAGAATCCCTGGGATCCCATGGAATTCCAGAATCTTGGAGTCAGCTGTTTCCCCCTTGCATCGGACTGTATATTGGTTACAGATCTAATCCATTCTCAGTTTTCGTAGCTGGTCTCACCAATCATGGAAAACTAGAGTTTTCGGTTATATGTGAAAGTATTCGTAGTTTAGAAATTTTCTTGCAGATTCCTTAACTATTTTACTCGTCGCTTGATTTTCTTCTTTTATCCATTACTTGTAAACTTTTGCTAGGTACTAATAATAATTCTTGTAAGCTGCTTTTCTATTTTGCTTATTGAAACTATTAGACCGCTAAAGAAAAATTGTATGAATACACTGATTTTCACTTGACAGAATGCTTTGACAAAGTACTTTATTGATTTTATTGAATATGACTTTCTGCATGTTTTGTCGGCCGTCAATGTCAAATTTCTTTGATTAAGTTCTTCTCTATTGCTTACAAAGCAGAAACCAAACTGTTATCCATGTTAGACCTCGTCATTCAATACATTGATATTTATGAGAGATCAGATTAACATAATTAACTTCATTTCAGAAAAACAGTACATTCTTTTAAAGAATTTTTAGTGAGAGAAATATGTTGTAGCAAAAAGTTCGTCAAAAGCACAAAGATAATTCATAATAAGATGTTCGATAGAACTTATTTGTTCATTAGTAGTAATTAGTAATGAAATAGTTATATCAGTATCATTAGATTCCATTGCTGCAAATTCCATATATTTTAAGTTGATAAGTTGAAAATTAATCGATAGATATCACTAAGATCTTTAAGCTATTTCAAGTGTATAGAAAACAAAAGACTCAAAACAATTAAATGATGAATCAAAAATGATGAATGAAATTATTTTACTAGTGTTTTCTGTCGATCATAGAACAGAACTCTATGAAAACTTAATTGGAACACAACTATTGGCATAGATATTAACTTCGATTTGGAATATCATCGTATATGTGCTCGAATCTAATTGTCGGATCCGTTTTTTGCTTGCTTCTTTCAGAATTCAGTTGGATTTTATCGACTGATCGTATATTTATTCATGTAGTCAAATATTGGTGTTGCCATCGAGGAAGGCACATAGAACAAATTGTCACCTGTCAAATAAATATCTTAGATCGAAAATATAGAAGACAAGACTTAACACTAAAGCAGAATTATGTACTAAGGATATAGACCATGTTGTTCATGTGATTTCCACTAATCGGTTGAACCACATCCTAACCTACTCATACTTACTTTCGTGTTATCAGTAAGACTTGAGTACGATGTATGATGTCGTTCCACTCTTTAATCGAATGTACTGGAGAAGAAGATCCTTCTGTGAACATATAATTCATTTGAGTTCATTGTGATAAGTACAATCGGATAAAAATAGTTGTTTGTTTATTTAAGTTCTTTAAGATTACATTTATTTATTAATTATTGGCAAACAAAAGCAGATTACATTCTAAGAAATTTTTATCACTTTAAGTCTTCCAACTCAAAATAAGCTAAGCAACAATTTTACAACACATAAAAAAAAGCAATATTTAGATAGTTATATGTTTTTGTAGTTTATTTCATTGCCATGGGTTTATCATGTTATAGTTGCTTCAGTGATCCTAAAAAAAGAAACTTTATTTCTGTTGTACTTCATAAAGACTAAGTACTAGAATAGAAATGAAATCTTAAAAGTTTGTGACAATTCCCTGCTTCTGCTTCTTTTTCAATTTCCTATGCTGTCTTATCAATAGAAAAGTGTTCAAGAAAAATCTTTTAGTGCAATTTCTTGTGGAACTAAAATGTAAAACCTGATATATCTATTGTCATCAAATGAATAACATTGTGAAGTGTGGAAATAAGTATAGATATATTATTTGTATACGCCCACACTCACACACCATGATTCTAAATATTTTTGGAGGATTTAAGTAATGATAACTCCCTCTAAAGAATTAATTAGATATCTTATCCGTCTGATATTTACTTGAACTAACGCCTGTATACCACAGTAATCGAGAATTACATACAAAATTAATTTTTTAAAACCATATGATAAGAAAATTATTTATTTTGTTTCAATTTCAATATTACACTTTTGTTACGAGCGAAACATAGCTGTTTCTGAGAAGTAGCAATTTAGTAAGAGTTATATTCATTTAAGACGAAATAATAATACAAAGATTGAAACAGAAAAATAATTTTTTAATGAAAAAGTTCGAAAAATCAATTTTTTGGGTACAACTCCTGATGAACAACACCGCAGCATCCTCACTCTTTGATGTACCCTTGAAATTATATTGATCAGTGTAGAGTGTCGTTCTTCTGCAGTTACATCTTCACTTGTAGCATGTTCCTAGATGAATC